TACTGACACACAAATCACATTACACCACCATGTACTGACACAGTGATAATGTTATACAACCATGTACTGACACAGTGATAACGTTACACAACCATGTACTGACACAGTGATAACGTTACACAACCATGTACTGACACAGTGATAACGTTANTATGTTATACGAGCATCTACTGACACAGTTCTAACACAATTAGTATGTTATACGAGCATCTACTGACACAGTTCTAACACAATTAGTATGTTATACGAACATCTACTGACACAGCGAGAACGTTAAACGATCATATAATGACGCAGATGGTTGTGTAATGACGACCCCTATTTTCTATCGGACAACAACAATGGGTGATATTTTAGAGTACGAACAAAACTATGCCGCTCTTTACGATACTAAAACATCGGGTACGGACAACAAAGAAATGTGGTATATATACACACGGGGGACATGTAATAACGTATTAACGCAATGACCAGAGTTTATGAGGACCATACCTATTACATTACGGCTAATGCTGGCCTTCTAAATTGGACAGTCTGATAAAAAGTAGGTGAATATATAACATGCAAATGTAGATAAGATAAATATCATAAGAGGAAATATAGAAAGAGCTAGTCTTATTTTTCGTCGTATGATATTGCGCCTTCTCAATGCATTTACTACAAAGTTGTGCCTGCCCAAACAGTGATGTGTTTCATCCGCTTGAATCGATCAAATGTTTTGATTTTGTTAGTTGTCTGAATAAATTGACGTACTTTATAAAGAAATGGTATGTGTCCCAACGTCTTGATAAGAACCTTTCGCTTATACCGTCGTTTAAAGGAAACACATTGGTCATGCATTTCTTGTTATCGACAGGACTAGGTACGACTCGTTATAAAACAAAACTTACCTCGCCATGCTGACTGGTATGATTTACTTCCTCTTAGCACTTGGGATAACTGTGTACATGTGTTGCCTTTTCAAAATGAATAAATCGATTCAATGTCGGGTATCTAAATATAGACTGTTTGGTTTACCTGTGCTGCCACACATTTGTAATATATGCTTTGCTATGCACGAGTAAATGTGATGCTATATGCGATAACCTAACACTGGCGTCAATGGCATGGGGATTTTAAAAATAATTATAAAACCAATTAAGTGGTAGACATGTAGTTGTTTTCTTTGTTCATATAAACAATTCACCATTCGCTTATCATTACAGACTCAGCTTATCGATAACTCACAATTTAAATCCCGTAACACTACAAGGGTACTGCTTTATTTCGTTAGATAACTCAGCATTTTCCCTGATTGCTTGATGAAGGAAAATGTAAAGTGGTTTTGTAATGTGTGATGCCCTTTATTTGAATTTAATTTTTGTCGATGCAACATATGTTCAGAATCGATAATCTCTGTAATATGATTCTCATTTCTCTCGGCAAATCGCGAGGGAGTACCTCTGACCTCTAACCCTTCCTGGATCACACAGTTCAGTGCACAATCACGTAGAGTCTCGTTTCTTGTATCGTCTTGTATCAAGCTTTGTTCGAAAGAGCACATGCGGTCACTGATTTTCTTTACCGATATATAGTCATGACCAATGGGCCGTTTACACGCCCACTGGTTAAAGTTTCAATTACCCTCAAAAATAATGTCTTTCTAAATATTGCTTTTAGATGACATGGATATGTGTCTTTATATTTTCCTTTGAAACAACACAAAGTTTTGTTGTCTCTTATAATTCTTTATAAAGCTCCTTCATCATATCTCCAAACCCTTTATAATGCCAGTTAAAAAAGAAACTGTGGCAGTCTATCATATATACAACTATATCAAACTTATCAATTTAATTGAAGGACGTTTAAGGTTACATATTCCAATACATCATTGAGGTGACTTAATGTTGTGCAGGGTTTGTTTTCTCAATATTTCAATATTGTTTATCCAATTCTCCTTGTGATGTCCGTCCAGTATCCGTACCAATCAGTTGTTACAAAGAGTACAGTTAGATAAGTATACATTTTACGAAGGGTATTAAACACATGCATTAACAGGCAATCACATCTTGTATAAAAGTAGAACACTGCGAAATAATTGAAAATGTATTTATTTCAATTGGATATATATGACTGTTATTGTAATGCAAGTTATGCTATAAAATCACCAAACGGTCGATGTCTTTGTGATGGTGAATAAATATTTTATATATGAAACAATTTCTGAGTAGATCCTTCGTACTTGTCTTTAGAGGGGAGGACCCTCTGATATACCTGTAAAGAGGCGAAATAACTACTGTTAAACTCACTGTGTTATTGTTCAATATATATGATGTATCGAAAACAAATGTCATTGGCTATTTCTCACGTAATACCTCTTTTGTTTTTCTGCATCACAACTTCTGCTGGTTCAGAATGTAATTGTGATTTACAATCAAAGCCGTTATTTGCGTTTCAAAATTATTTCTTAAACTGAACAATTAAACTTTTTGTAATATATTTCAGTAAATATTTGATATTGATGACTACTTACTTATTTGACAACATTTACTTCTATCAAATATAGCTTACTATGCATAGTCGCAACTTATATTTTTATAATGTGTGTGACTTTGTGTTGATTCAAATGTGTTCCATGTTATGGTGTGTAAATATAAACAACTGGGTCTAAACCACTAACTATGGTAACCTAGCTGACAGTTACATATTAGTTTTAATAACATCAAAATTGGTACCAAGTAACTAACTTCGTTAATGATCTATCAAATAGTCATCTGTAATTATCAAAGAAAATTGGTCTTTTTTCTCGGATGCTTCGTCCTCTATCGCTATCAGCTCCAATATCAATACATAACTGACAGTGTAGTAATATATGTATGCTATTAGTTACTACAGTAACACTTCTCTTCGATAGGACTAAGATCCTGAAGAGTTGTCTGCCCTTAGACCAACTCATAAATGAATGCGGATTTGAGATTTTCTTGAGCATTTAATTCACACTGACTTATAACCAAGCTCACCTCCTGGGACAGTGATCATATTAAATGATAACCAATTCAAGAGATGCTACTGCAGATATATGTTTTATTCATACTGTCGTCTACACAATTTACACAATGGTCATATAAACCCTCTCACTAACTACTCTCAAAAACCCTCTAGAATTAGCTAAATAAATCTAAAAAAGAGATGATATTTGTAATGAATGATTCCTGTGAAACTACTATATACAGTTATAAATGTCTGTAACACGGTTTACAACAACATTCTGTCTAGATGTTAATGTTAATGTTAATAAGCAACCAATCTAAGTATCATAACATATATAATGAAATAATAAAGATAACACGTTTGCGCATGCTTAATTGGTTTAAACATCCACGATAGCCGTCACTAAAACGTATGGTTGTACCATTAAGGAATTCTTTTTCATTGTCTTATAATGTCAAGAAAAACTTAGGCTCTTGACAACATACATTTTTAACACGGAGGATCACGAAGAAATTTTTGACAAGATTATATAAAAAATAATTTTATTTAAACTCCCGTTAAAAAATGAATAATAAAATTTCATTCTATTACTTTAGCTTGAAAGAATGAAAAGAAATTAATTTCTCAACAATACTCGAATAGATAAACCATCTCTACAAGTTCTAACAGGAAATATTCTCAATTTTGTTTCACCAATAAATGTCATGGTTCAGGTGAGTTTTACCCACTTCATTCCTGAGGGAAAACATTTAGAATAAGATGTATATGATGTAAATGAAAACTTGCATATATATAAAATATCTAATACTTGCATGCATACATACACACACAAAATTTCTTGATGTCAATTAGATCTGAAAAATCTCATTTTAAATTGACCTGAATTTGACGTAAAAAAGACTTAGCCTGTATACCGAATCCCAAATAACACTTCTGTTATATTAGTTACCATTTCGTTTTTCCAAATTTTACTAGTCGTCATCTCGGAAACAAGTTAAGGTTTTAAATGCTAGCGCACGCGCTTGACACGATGATAGTTTATGATGTTTTGCCTAATATATTGTAGTATGGTTGGCTAATACAGTTAATCTAACTAATATCAACATATCCGCGCAGCCGTCGCTGAAATTATGTATAATACAAATGAGAATATACCTTAATCAATTACAATAACTTTATTTACTTCGATTTTCACGTTTCTAAACCGTTCAAACGTTTAAAGTGACCATACTGTCATCACACGTTATTCAATACAGCTTGAATGAGTAAACAATATCGATTATTTGAAAATAAACTTCATGGATGAAAAAACAATCACTGCTGAATATAAACTATGCAAACAGTAATAAAAAAAATATATACATTGTAGCCATGTTTCTTCAGCACAGATACCTGCCTGCATACTCTGTTATGAATGGAGACTTTTGCTCGAAATGCAGTGTGTCATGGAGAATACCTAGTTTAATGTTTCATTTTTCCATCCATCTTGAATGTTTCTAGGAAAATATGAACGTATGAGTACATTTTTGACCATATCAATCAAAAGTACAATAAAATGCCGTTAATCAAGACTATGTCCTAATTTTCATCGAGTTGAGATATATCTTATGCTTAAATGAGACGTAATAGAATCAAGGCACGTCTGAATTCATTTTCTTAATCATAATGTATATACAAAATAAATAAAGTTTCATCTTAAAATGAAGAAGAAAATATATTCCAGACACATCATTGATGTTTACATTTGCAAAGTTTTGCTATTGTATCTTCATAGATTTATTTTTCGTACTGGTGACTTTCAAGTTATTACTTAGGATGAACATTTAACATATACTTTTATTTCTTTTTGAGTCCTTGGCAAACACCCTTACGAAGTAGCTCCCCGTTCTCACGGCAAAGCAAAGCCGGCCAGACTAAGAAATCTACAACCGTTCCCGCACGTGTGTAGAACTTGAAGTAGTCCTCGTCAAAGCGGTCGTGTAGGTGTATCTCTTTGAAGAGAAAGATCGGCGGGCTCTGGATGGACATCAACCAGCATAGCTCCACGCACTTTCGGATGTATATTTCCAGATTAGCACCTATCTCGCCTGGCTGTAGTTTTAGATGGATGATTTCAGAATCGAAGAACCTCTGTACATATAAGAGTACATATACGTTACTGGTTTATTTCGTTGAAAGCACAAATCATCGTTTCATCGCGCATTTGATATATATTCATGGGATTTGGAGAAGTAAAACTGTTTGACCAATTACTCATGTAGGAAATAATGATTATGAAATTTGTACCTTGATGACGCCTTCTGCTGAGATGTTACCCGTCAGTTTTCTCACATTTCTTAAATCTTTGGCGTAAATTGGTGGAATCTGTGGTAATTGCTGAAAAAAGCAACATATCTGATGAAAAAGACTTTCAAAAATTGGTAGAAACAAAATGTTAGTGTAAATATTGTCTTGATAGACTGTTGAAATATTTATCGAACTGATACGTACATCTGTTGATTGCTGACACACTGCATCCAGGATATCTTTCCAATGAGTGTCAGCATGTCCTTTGCAGTAGTCGTTTGTAACCTATCGACAAATTGAAACCAAATAAATTCAGATGCAATATATAAGGTGTGCATAATATGATGTAACACTGATCTCACACTTTTTCTCAATACATGTATAAACATATATTACTTAAAATCAAACCCTTGTGTTCCGCAAGAAGAAGAGTAAGCATCTTTTGCTTTATCAGTGAAGCCCGCTATGCAAATCTTTGTCCAATCCACATCTACTTTACGTGCAAAGTAGGGTAGAACATTTAACATTGGAATTACAATGCAGAATAATCAAGTCGACTAAGTAATTTTATCAGTTAATGATGACATAATATTGATTTAATTAACTTCTTTATCCATATTTGGTTAGTACAACTTACGCTAAGAATTTCCAACAGAAAACGTATAGCGCTCTGTTCTGTCATAACTGGCGTTGCCGTCCGTTTATTTTCCAACATTTCCTCAAATGCTTCTGTCCATTCGTTGTCGTACAGTTCGCTGAATTTTTCCGCCAGAGATGTTGGTCGGTTTGGGTCACTCAAATCAGTGATTCCATGATTGCCATCCGTTAGTCTCATCTCAGCTTGTTTGCTGAGCCTGAAATAAAATATTGTATTGCTGTAGAGTTATTACTCAAGCAGTGAGGAAGCACCCATTTAAAAACTTAAATTGATACAGATAGTCACAAAAGTAGTATACCAAAATAGCAATTTTGTTTACCTTGGCCTCATTTGAACTGAATAACAAAAGAATGGAAATCCATGTCGAAATGCTATGTGCAGGAAGTATAAAAGATAATTTCAATATTAATTACTTTCGTTAGACAATCCATACGATCATTATACTTTTAATCATACGTGGTCACAATGTAAAAGATAAACGTGACACCCACCACACCCACACACCTACACACACTCACACACAAACACCTACACACACTCACAAACACACTCCCACACACACACACACACACACACATACACACACTCACACAAACACACACACACACACACTCCCACCCCCACCCCCCACCCCCACANCACACACCCACCCACCCACACACCCACCCACACACACACACTCACACACCCACATACATACACCCACTCACACCCACCCACCTACACCCACTCACACCCACACTCCCACACACCCACACCCACACCCACACATCCACACAAATCCACACACATACACCCACACACTCACCCGCACATACACACACACACCCACACACCCACACACACACACACACACACCTACACACACACACACACACACCTACACCCACCCACACCCACACCCACGCACACACACCTACACACACACACACACCTACACACACACCTACACACACACACACCTACACACACACACACACACACACACACACCTATACACACACACACACACACACACACACACATACACACACACACACACACACTCACACCCACCCTCCTACACACATATGTGATTGCACCTTTAAAATTTGGTTATAGATATAGTATGACTAAAATAAATAACACAGCATCATACAGCTGTTTCCTCTCTCAAGCACTCAGCCACAGGCATTTGTTTCTGTCAATAAAAATAGTCAGGAGCAAACAAAATAACACCCTACTCATGAAATATACCAAAAATTTAATTTTTCGTGTTAAGTACCTTTTGAATATTTTATGAATAAGGTGTTTTTTTCTGGTGACTTTTTTTATTGACAGAAACAAATACCTGTGGACTCGTTGATGCTAAGGGCAAGAAGCATTAGAAATATATGTTTTAAAACTACTGCTGAAACAGAAGGGACACAATAAAAAACTTTACCTGGCACGTTTTGGTGGTTGTGTCATTTTATAATGTTGATGTATTGTGTTAGTATAATCATAATCATCAAATAAACACGACTTGTATCAGTGTTCTGTTAATGCTGAAACATTTGAATGAACTATTTTTTGATGATTATTGCTATAATGTTAAATAGTGTAATACATATATTTCAGTCATATTTTAACAACTAGGGGATACTAATGATATATTGTTTTAATTTCACAAAAATGCATATAAACGAATTGCCAAGAAGCAATACTTGGCTTGCCAAGCTAGGAAACATAATTAATAAAGGTGTATCGATCTAAAAATCAAAATAAAGAAATCGATATGTAAATACACGATATAATAAAGCTCATCTTTATACCTGGTAAGCAGCTCGTCTTTTCGGTTTTTTAACTGTTTGATTTCCTCATCTTTGACTGATATAATTCCCCTCAACTCTCCGAGATCCGTATTCTTTGATAACATATCTGTCTCGTATCTGTCAAACAAAGTTTGATTTTACTGTTTAAATATTACTTATCTAATTCGATAGAGTTAATATTGTGAAGCTTTGAACATCCATATTAAAATGAAGTATACAAGGTTGCGCAACCTCATCGTTAAGTCTTGTGTCCTGTTCTTCATTCTTATATGTTTAACGTACATTTGCCCAATACACGACAAAATACAAACATCAGTTGTTTACTCTTACTTTTAACAAACAAAATCATAAAAACAACACATCTGTACCAGAAAATAGTTATCGTATAGATCATTAGCTATGCATATTGATATCAACAACATCTAGAGGACACATTTGATAGTAAGTGTTAATCGCACAACATGATATAAATCTGATATCAAAAATCACTTATAAAGTATAATAAACATGTGTCATGATCCACGTACCACTGTCAGAGTCTGTAACTAGGTGTTACGAACCTTGTTTTGCGGTATTACTATAGGGTTGAGAAATTATTTCTGAAAACAAAACCCATAACCTGTTGGACTTAAATACTAAGGTTGAAGTAGACGAAATATAAACAACAAAAGTGATCTGAGTGTAATACAGTCAGCAGATAGACCGGGATTACAATCCTTGATTTAAGATTGTTTTACTATCGCCCTTACCCACTGAGCTACATGTATCTAGTCAACGGAGGTTTCCTGGTCAAACTGTGGCATAATGAAATCCTAAACGAAATTGAGGGGAGATAACTCCATCCATGAAAAACTACAGTGCAGTGGGACAGAATTATGCATGTTTGTAGTAATAAGCTTTCACTGATGGATGTCCATATTACAAAACAGAACCTTCTTGAGAAAGGCTTGAGATGAAACTTCAAAAATATTTCAAATTTGCCTCCATACATACGTTGACATTCATTGCTATCCTAACGGATTACGTATGTGTGTGTACCTTTCCTGAAGTGTCTCATTCTCTTGCCTCACGTGCTGTATTGCTTCCTCCCTGTGTGCAACGTCATTTTCCAACTGGCAGATTTCTGTTGTGTAACTGCGAACAGGGCATACATATATAACTTAGTCTTAATGATGTTACGGCATTGGCAAATCTTTTACGAATGTTTTCTTTTTTCTCTCTCTCTATTTCCCCTTCCTTTTTCGTTCCTTTTTATTTTTTTCGTTCTTCCTTTTTTTGTTGGAAAATTTAGATTAGCATAATCTTATTGAGAATTTACAAATGTCTACATTGTTGGATACTGTAATGCTAATTATGATATTTCGGTCTTAATAATTTTACAGATTTTAGGCTTTTGTTAAACAATACATAGCAAAATAATAGTAGCCAGAATTACGGTGTATACACTTTGTATTTATCAAATTACATAGACTGTCTGTAATGATTGTAAAAATGTGAAGACTGAAAAGCTTAAATATCATTCTCCTTCTCCTGAACAACTGCTGCAACATCTTCCAGTTTTTGATTTAGCCGCGATGAATTATCCATTCCCTGTTCATGGCTGGAGATAGAAATAAACACCTTTCCGTATGAATTATTGTCTATATGTGCAGTCGTTTTACCATAATTATAAGTCTTTTGGACATGTGTGATGCAATATTACGTGTGTATGATATTATATTTTGAAGTGCCATTATCCTGGTTACGATCATTCATATCCAAATATATTTTAACGTCTCGTATCCTGTCTTTTAATGATTATTGTATATATAATATATAAATGTTGCTTAACCGGACAACTGGCAAATTTCGTTTGTATAATTTTGAACAAGATAAATATAACTTAGTTTTACTGATGTTCTGGCACCGACAAATGCCCTTTCTTTCTTAAACTGATTTGCATAGTATAAAATTGATATTGCATAGTTATGCGGGAAATATGTCGCAATGTTAAGAATATGTCTGTGATATTTTCGGTCTTAGAAATATCAATTTACATGTGATTATCATTTTGTTGATGGTAGGAGAAATGCAATATATATTATTATATATATATATATGCTTTCTAAATCAACATACTTTAGACAGTCTCTGCTAGTCACTACTATCTTACTTGTTTGAGTGGATCGAAAACCTTAAGTGTTTGCTATGGTATTTTCCTTTTTGTCGTTCAGTTACGACAATATCTGCTTTCCAAGAGTGATAAATATAATAGAAATAACTTGTTTCATAGTGTTGAATAAAAAGTTTCTATTCCTTGTTCATGCATTGTGAAAGAAAGGAACGCTTATCCCTATAAACAATTGTTTATATTTGCAATTTAGGAATTCAAGAGCGATGTGAAATCGGCAATGCGTGCTTTCAAATCTCTGTGCCGTCATTTTGGTTATTGACATAAATATAGAAATACATTTTAAAGATTCGCATTCTCATTGTCAAGTATGTGTTCTGGTGTTAAGCCTTTTAATGTTGAAATCATATAGTTTAAACAACAAAAGTATTCTGCCTTTATCGTATCATTAAAAATGTTCTTAAGATTAACAGAACCAAAAAGACAAAATAGCTAGCGTATGAGTAACAAATAATGCATGCACGAAATATTTCTATTTGTATTTGAAACGTTTTGAATGCTTTCTTACAGATAAAAAAGAGAGCAAATTGTTTGTTACATTTAACATAAATGCATGTTTGCCGTCAGAATGATTTTGTAATTAGATGCGTTAACTGAAAGAAATCAGTAAAGACAACATGTACCCTTATTGAGATACGTTACTCTATAATGATAAAACAATACAAACACAAAAAATATTTATGAAATTTATATCCATTCATAACTGAAATTAATTGCTATCCTTTACAATTTAGCATGTGTAAGTACCTTTCAGAAAGTGTCGCATTCTCCTGCCGCAACTGTAGTATTGTTTCCTCCCTGACTGCGATGTCGTGTTTCAATTGGTGAATTTCTTTTGTGTAACTTTGAACAGAATATCATAACTTCATAACTGTTTTAGTAAATTGGGTCGCAATGGATATTATATATGATTGCAATAACGTGTTATTGACTTCCCTGTGATTTGATTCGGACTTTGAAGAATAACTTTACAGATGAGGGGCGTATGTTTGATATTGTGTATTGAAATTACTCTAACAGGAGTTATGGGCTATATTTTTTATAGAATATAAGTATATATAATATACCAATAATAAATACACAATCATAATAGGAGTTATGTGCTACATTTTTTAAAGAATATATATATAAATATATAATATAACAATATTATATATATACAAAAAGTGTTCGTATTTTAATAAAATGGTTTATAGATCGAAAATACTTAAATGCCACGTACTTTTGTTGTAGTTCATTTTTCTCCTGAATTGTCGTTTTCTCATCTTCCATTTGTTGTTTCAGTTGTGAAAGTACCTCCATTCCTTGCTCATGTCTGGGGGAAAAGGAACGACCGGCCGAATGAATCATAGTATGTAATTACAACTGAGGATTTTAAAGATTAACGTAACACACACACACATATGATGGCACCTTTAAAATTTGGTAATAGAAACAGTGCGCCAAAATAAATTACAATGCATCGATTCATAGGTGATGCAAGGGGCCGAAAAGGTCCAGAATTGTTCAAAGAGATATCATCCGATCTTAAAATTACTTAAGCAAAAGTACGCACAGCTTTAATTTACTGAGCGAATTTCTACAGTAGAATCGACATCAGGAACACATGATAATATATAACATTATAATTAAAATATTTACTTTACTACAGATCTGTTTTCTTTTTTTGTGAAGCTGAAACAAAATGCAATGTATACTTTAAGGAGAACTATTCCAATTTTTACACCAATAGCGAGCAAATCTTTACAAAACAAACAAGAAAATTTGGCGATGTACGTTTTAAACATAACGATAATCTTTATGTTCGAAATTCCGTGTTATAAAGGGTGTAAAGTGTGCGGTTTTAATATATAACCTGAAACAAAGTGACTTTTATTAAAGGTTTTGTCGTTGAATCCAGATTTGGTTTTAATATAAAAACGTCGTGATGTGTGTTAAAAAATTGAAAACCTTACTCTTTGTATACTGTATCATGCTGGTGACTTGTTTCGTTAAGGTAGTGTCGTGTGCAGAGAGACAGTTTGTTTCTCCTGTGACTGGAACTAATTACCTTTTGATCCGTTGATAACACCGAATGCCGGCGATTCTTTCATTTGCATGTGTATTTACTCCTGACTTTTAAGTTGACGTGAAAAGTTTCGCATTTTTCTAGTGAACTATATAACCCCTTGTCAAAACAGTCTCTGTTAGATTTGTTTCAATACTGTCTCAGATGTTGGAAAATTGGAAAACAAGGAATTACGTCCGATTACCATAGATGCAAATCACATTCGATGTATGTTCATGTAAAGAGCGTACATGGAAGGATTTCGAATATGGATCACAAAATTTGTAATTCGGAATCTGTTTCACAAAACAAATCTCAAGAATGATGAAGTATATTGATAATGCGATTTAGTCAATTCATGGCATATTTTGAAACTTAATCTCAATATGTTTCAAAAATACCTCTAGTTTCAAATGAATGTAAATTTATAATACATTCACAATAGTTTATGAATAAAGAACACATATTCTATATATAATATTTATACAGATGTCTCAACCTTTACCCACACAATACTATATGTTCAAATGTATATGTAAAACACATATTCATTGGTCGTATAGTCTTAAAACAGACAATATTTAAGCTTGAAAATAATACGTACTTCTGATGTTTTTGCTCTATTTGTTGGTATTTGGCGACGAACTCCTCATTTTCATGCTTCAGTCGCTTAACATAGTCTTTCAAGTCAGAAGCCTCCTTTCGTTGCCTGATGTAAAGGAAATATGAACTTTATCTTACAGACCTCTCAGCTAAATTATTCAACTACAAAAATCTTAATATATGTTTATAGGTTTTCAATTAAATGAAAAAATACTCTTCTTCACCGTTAGTGTATATATACTTGTAATCTTTGCTGAAATGAAACCTTTGTACGAATAACTAAGATAGATTTAAGACACTGATTATATTCACTTATGTCACAACTACAAATGTAATTATATAAGCACAATAATATCATCACAAATTACGATATGTTCATATAGGTATATCGACCAATTTGTACTTAATAAAAACAAATATATATATATACATTGTATATACGCGATTATATGAAAAATACCTACTCTAAGTAATCCTTACAGATCCCTTCCATGTGTTTTCGGACTTTGTCGGTGATGCCCAGCAGGGAGTCCTGCTTTGTAGCAGTTGACACAGGCTGTAATTGGATTTCATTTACCGACTTGACAGCTTTATCTGCTGCTGAAACCCATGACTCCATGTCATGTATTGACTTTAAACACTCCATCATCTCTTGAAGTTTCCTATTCGATGTAACAGAATGTGTTGAAATATATCATTAACACTGCGTTATTTTTTCAGAAAAAGACAGTTAAGATTATAGCTGGTTCAAAATACTCGCTTTAACAATACTGCGTGTAATTTTCTGGCATTCATATTTGCAAATCAGATTTAAACTAAGCTATTTTCTTCCCATTTAAGACTTTAGTTTCTATCTTATTTTTTTGTATCCATTTGAGGTGACTTACGGGAAAATACCTCCCAAAGTCTGGCTTGTGCTCTTGATAACTTCGGATGATGTCATTTCAGTGGAGGCCTGATGCTCTTCAGACTGTGGTACTGGTCCCTTGGCCTTTCCCTTCTTCCTCTTCTTCTTTTTTGATAGACATGTTTCTTCGTTCCAAGGAGTATTGAACGTGTCAATCATTTTGGAAACCGATAACACTTTGTCTCGAAGTTCTTTGGCATGACAAGTCGCCTCTGTTTCTCTTGCAATGTTCTTTTCCTTAAGCATTCTGTTTTAAAATTATACACACTTTATTTTATTGTATTTAATAACTCAAATTAATAAAGAGATTTTATTAAAGAAAGGTTTGTCAGGCAAGACCTATATAAAATATAAATAAGCTGTTTAAATATTGCCATTAATGTGCATGCAGAAATCAAAAAAAAAATCATCTTGTTGCATAAACGGGACCGCATTGCATGTTAAGCTCCTAATCTATGCATGTCAAGTACTTGTGCATGAATACTCACTCCATATTGCCTACACATCGTTTTAACGATTCTTTGAGGTCAGTCGACAGTATGTTGACTGAAGCTGTTGGGTCATTGTCCCGTTTAGGTTTAGACTTTTTCTTCTGACCTTTTCGAGCTGATGCAAGCGAAGCTTCTATCTCTGTACTCTGATACAGTACTGCCTGCAGCGTAATCCTAACCTCCCTGTTTTAATGTAAAAGTCATGAGTACGTTTCATAAGGGTGAAATTAATGATAGCAATTCAATGTATAACAAATACTCAAGTAAATGTATCAGCACAAAAAAAGGTGCTGAAATCCATGAAAAATATTTACCACATCGACAACAAAGACATGACAATAACACAAAACATACAAAATGCAACGTGATATTCCAATTATTCCACTGAACAAATAATTTTAGGTGTATTCTCCAGAAGTGCAGTTTTATTTTGCAGTGGTGCACTTTACAACCATAAAAATGTTAAATAACCCGCAGGTTGCATTATTTATTTTTATTTGTTTTGTTGTTGCGTAAATCAGACATTTCAAAAGACGAATAACTAATGAAGCAGATATTTCATTTCAAAAATGACATGAGTCGTTTAGAGGTAAGAAATCTGAACGACTCATTCGGATTTTATTACAATAATGAAACTGTGAAATGTTTGCAAAAATAAAATTAAAAAAATAACCTATATCTATGAATTTCCATCCGAACTCGTTTCAATTTTATTCAAACAAACACGTTTTTACAATACTCAATTCCCTACCTTTTTTCTTCTTCAAGAAGAGCCGTCCTTTTCTTTTCTCTGAATAAGAAAAAATCACAGAATCAAGAGTTACTTCGGACAGTCAACTTGATAATTAGTTTAAAAAAAAATGAAATTATCCAATTTATTTAGATTTTCGAACATTTTAAGAGGAACTTTCTTTATTAGAACTGTGACTTTACATTTTAAACATATTTAGAAATGTTGTAAATAAGATGCAAATAAAAAGATAACAATTAAAGAAAAATATTATAACCATATGAAATAACATACATTCCTCTCTAAGATAAGAAAATAATATTATTATAAAATACTCACCTTTCGAGCTCATTTGTGAGTTTTTCAATCATACTGGCAACCCTTTTTATCAAAAAATCAAAAGCTGTTTCATCATACCGGTAAGGTTGTTATTAAAATCCATCATAAATAGTTATTTCGGAAATGGATATTCTATCAACTGGTGATGAATTAGAATCAGAACTGAGGCTTTGTCGAGGTTCTCTCATCAAAATCTCCACCCGAAGGTATTCTACTCATATCACAAATACAGTTTGACTGCATAAGGTGGACTCTTTTGCTGCTACCTTTTAATTGATGTTTCGGTAAATATAACAAAAATATGGATAAAGAATATAAGATCATATTTGGAGCATAAAAAAAAATATACCTCACATTTAAAAATCAACTCGAATCCCCCATGGTATGTTTGTACAATAACACTTATGCTCCTGTGTAGGTGTCACTTGCCGACGCAAAGATTGTTACAGTCAAATGACCGGCTTTACCGGCTTTCGATTGTATTGTCATAATACAACCCCATTTGTTTGTGATGTCATACTATTTAAGGTCACTGAGTGGACATATGTTGGAATGTATAGAATCTCTCACCTCTTTGGGTTGAGATTCCCCCATTTTATCCCCAAGGGGGGGGGGGGGGGGGTTTTTTTTTTTTTTTCNAGCATTGTTGACGTGACGTCATTGTTTTGTTGATGTGACGTCATACAATTGCTATGTATAAGGGAATGTCCCTGTATCAACCCTAGAGTGGGACAAGGATATATCACACCAGTTAAAGTGTGGATACACTTGTCCAGGGTAAAAGAACAATATATTCTTTCCCCACCTTAGGTTTAAGACAGAAAATTCTCTACCTAATGACTAAGATTATCAAATGTCTAGCCCAGAGTCAGACATTTCAAAATCTTACCCCGAGGGTTGATATTTTTCTGTCTTGTTCCTAACTTGGAGAATGATAACTTTTCTCCCACACCAAATATAAAAGTAGTAATTTCATGAATGGCAAATGGGGATTTTATTATTTCAAGCAAATCAAAGTTATTTTCTGTAATCAACTATTGTTGAAGTGACGTCATTGCATTATTGTCCATACTTCAATGCATTGTTAACGTGACTTCATGCAATTGTTATGACGGGGGAATGAGTAAATTTTCATACATATACATTACAATCTTTGACACGAAACATGTCAATTAGTATTTTTTTGATACGGGCTAGTTGCCGTCAGTTTTGATTATTTTTATATCAACGAGTTTGCTGTTTTAATATCTCTAAGAATATATTTTTATTGTCGTGCACGTTAGTCAAATAGTTAGAATGCTTATATTTTTGTTACACTTACGACTTGAAATAGACATCATCGATATGATAAGCTATCAAAATTAATATAGACAATGAAAATTATCATCCTTGTTAATCGATTCATATAAAGTCTTAAACAAGCGATATGTTATAGAAAACTTCTTGAGGTATAGTAAGCTTGTCAAACCTTAATCAGACAAATCAAATTTCATAGGTTAAGGGTAACAAGGTCTGTATTAAACAAAAAAGAGAAGAACAAACTAACTTTGATACAGACTGGTCACTTTCCAACATTTGCTGTGAGGGCATTTCTGGTCGTGTCGTATCACTTGTTATTTCCGACAGGCTTCCTGGCTCGCTGTTGTATCCTACTTCTTGGAGAGCTAAGAGTTGTAATCGTCGATGCTTTGATAAGTAGCTAAACTGTTAAAAATCATAAGCAGAAACAATTATATTTGGTACCACCAATCGCATGTTATCATGCTTAGTGAAGAATAAGATGGAAAGTGTAATGCATTGGGTTGAGCAGTGGGGTACGATTAGCTGGATGGATGTATACTTAGTAATTAATTTGAATATTTTAAGACGTTTATACCTGTATTTGTTTGTTATCGATAAGTCAAAATTAAAAACAGATATGACCTTATAAAAGGTAGACCAAAGATAACTTGGTACATCAATCAGAATAATTTACAGATTGTACATTGAGTGAGACCTATCGTTCACATAAGAAACACCCTACTGGTTTTAACAGTTATATGTTCGCTATTCCAGCAGATTTCGTCAGCAAGTACGGTAAACTCAATTATTTCAGCTGACTCAAAGGTAAGTATATTATCGAATTTCAATAGACTAGTTCATTGCTGAATTTTCGCAATCATGATAAATGCAATGGAAAACTATGTAGAGAGACTCAAAATTTAGCGTAAGATTTAAAACGTGAAAAGGGCTAAAACTAAACCACCGTGTACAATGTTATTGAGTATTTTTAAATGATTCGTGCATAATACATACAACAATATAACACATTTCATTTTTGTTTACAACAACAACAAAAAGAAGCGTTTAAAACTGAATACATTTTAAGAAGTAATTTACTTACATTGCACAAAAGTGTCTTAGCTTGCTTGTACTCCGCACATGTTGATACCGGCCTCCATACTTTGTCTAGCCTTTTGAAATATGGCTTGATATGATCTAAATTCTTTTCGTCTTTCAAGGTCTTTAAAAAGAAATGTAAACATACAAATTTATCAGTGGTTGATATAAAAAAAAAATCTTTCTTTTTTCATTTGGTTTGAAAGATCAATTAAAAAAGGAGTAGACTGATTGTCACAATAATTGTATCAAAAACTGAGAGTAGGAAAAATAAAAAAGCTACAACAAAATCGTTATTTTCTTATCGATTGATTCAAAATATCAATAATCTATTAATACTTCATATCTAGGCTTTTCACTGTAACTTGTGTATTTGTAGATTGTTCATGACGTAATGAAAGAACTAGTTCTGTTTTGCGTATCAAGTTAGATCGGATATATCATTGCTTTTCTCTTAATTGTTTTTTGTTATTTGTTTTTTAAATACTACGCATTTTTGTTTTCATGACGTTAATAAACACTCAAAACCAATCAAACGTCTTTAAGTAACTAAAATGTTATTGTGAAAAGGTATGGGGTCACCTGCCCGACCACTTGGGTTTTCTCCGGATACTCCGGTTTCCTCCCACGTAAAGACCCCCTGCGCGCTAACATCCTGGCCAACAAGAGTAATTAAGATAAATTGAATAACTTGTTACATAATTGTTTTAAAATAAATAATAAAGTTTATGTAATTATGTTATTGTAGAAAATAATCTATTGTCGAAGTATGCAATTAACAATCTTTCCATAAATGGCTGGAATATCAGTGGTTAACTTACCCCTTCAATACATTCACATATGCCCACAAAGTCGTCCTCTGACGATTCCCATGACTTTGCCGTCAATAATGTTTCTTTGAGGGTCTTCACAGTGTAAACTTGTTGTGATTTACCACTGCAAGCCATGGCTACACCTTTCGTTTGTCAGCTTCAGTTATACGTGATTCTGTAAAAGAAAACGGTCGAATTAAACACACTCCTATAATATAAGTTCATTATCATGTGCAGTACTTTAAATTGCAACGATTTTAATCACTTTAACAGTACACGATACTGTTGCATAAAGCATGTTGATTAGGGCAACCGATGTTGATAGTGTGTGCTTATCAGGAAACATCCTATTTCATTTAGAGTATAAAATATCAAAATTTAAACAAAAGCACAGGAAAGGAAGAAAACAACTCTGCAACCACAACATACAGGCACAACATCCTAACAAAAAATAGATACAGTGCAATCAATGTTGTCCCCTTAATGTGTAAAATTTGCCGTAAATACATTGTATGAATTATTACATATTTTTACAAATACATATTATTTAAGAACAAGGAAGGTTGGGCTTAAATCACATATTTTTCAAAGAAGACAAACATTACAGATATATCTTCAGTTCAAAAAGCCCGCGTTATACCTTATTCCGGATGAGCGTCACTTATCCACATGTCGGTAGTATTGAACACCACTGTGCACAATTATGTATTACTGCATCATCTTAATACATGTCATCAAATGCATCCATATGGCAAGAATGCTTTCGTATAACTATTACAATCCTGTGTTGAACATTTCATTATCATAACGCAACCTATTTTACACTAACATACACATATACAGCGGTGAGCTTATCCTATATATAGACTGTGTCATCGTTGCAGCGAATATCGTACATACACTACTGAGGCTCTGGTACGATGCTTTCGATTTCACAATAAATACATATACAGCATCTGTGTAATAGCTTAATACCTTAACTAAATCAGTTTGTACTTTGTAAAGAGATACATACCTCTCCATGCCTCTAAATTATAGCTTATGTTTTTCTGAATGCAATATACATCCTCAATCCAAAGGTAACGTAAATACTCAGAACTCGTGTATTTTTAGAATACGTGGTGTTCACCCTGCGATATCCGCTGGACTCAGCTGACACGGTATGCATTACAGCAAGCACGCTGTACATATCATATACAGTCATATTTATCGTTGATCGTAATTGAATCAATGTCTGCACTAACCAGTTGATAATATTACATGTTTGTAGATAAATACATATTGTATTAATGCCATACCTTTATTGTAATGTAAATATACCGTTAGAAGAGTTTGTAAAATTGAGTACGTCTATATTTACATTGCAACATGCAGGCCTCTTGTAAGCTTGTGCATGTTAAATTCGTTATTCAACGAGAATGCCTTTATGACAATATATATCCTGTTGACGGGAGTGTAAACTGTTTTAACATTTTGTTTAACTTATTGCATTTACAAATACATTTGTACTAGTGTTGCTTACTTTTGTGTAATCAATAGCAGAAGGATGACCAACGATAACTATTATACATGTACATTATAACCTGTCTAAAATGGCCCCTGTCTCATCCATATCCCTGTCAAAACCGGCTATGATGTGTTGTCCTGGAATAATCCCAATACAATCATTGTAGTTTAACTCTGTATAAACCGGACCCTGTCCATTCCGAACACCGGCGTTGTTTCAGAACAAATGGCATAGTAATCAATGCAAAAACAACCTATTCATTCCGGTCCTGAAATTACTCTCGGCCGGTTACAATTTAAAGCAAACACATTCTAAACAAGTTAACGCTATCCATTGGTGGGTCGCTCTTCATTTGTATTATTTACTGTATATTTTGTAAATAATTAAACGTTCCAATTGATTTATTTCTCTGTTGTTTATGTTGACACACTTGTATACAGATCGTATGCAAAACACTATATTTTTGTATTTTTCGGTTTTATTTTTGCAGAAAAAAGTAAGTTAAGACCAAAGAGCCAAAAAATCGTTGATTCTGTGCGTAGATGGAATAACCAAACGAACAGTTAATGGATTTTTCTCCATCTCAAAACACAGTATCGTTCTTAATAACAATAAACAGCTTTTTTTTGTAAACCATGGAATACTAGTTTGTTATCTGAAGCATGGTCTCTCCCTCGATTGTCTTCATATCGCGAATATATTGGATAGGTGCAGGTTGGGTAAGTATAACAGTTACTGGCCGTAGGTCGGTGTTTTTTCTCCGGGAGCTCCGGCTTTCCTCCACCACCAAAACCTGGCACGTCCTTAAATGACCATATCTGTAAATAGGACATAAAACACAAACAAACCAAAGGGTTAGTATAACTCAAAATGCACAGGACTTTCATATCCGAATACTAATATAGTTAACCTGTTGATTTGTCTATCCTAGATCTATCAATATCATTTCATGAAAAAATGTTCTTTGGACTATTCCCAAAGCAACCGATAAGTTACCAAAAATATGCTTCCAAAGAGAAAATGTATCCCTTTGTTATTGGACAGCGATGGATAGTAAGTTTTTTTGTCTGAAACTCGATGGGATGAAATATTTACACATAGAACACTGGCAATATATCTTACACATATACTACATGTATTTCAAAATCTTCTAGCTAAATTGCCTCATTTTTTTGTTTTATTGTTGTTGTATCCCTTACTTTTTCATCACTCCAACCAATGCATATACGTGTAGACTGATACTACATGGTTCTATACTATTAACTACTTCGTGTAGCAGCAGCAGGGTTTAAACATGGGGCGTTCATGACTTGCATAAAATAAAAATAAAACTGAAGCAATTTCTTTGTTTATTATATCATTAGGGCATTGCTTGTCTATTACTAATTAATTATGATTGACTTTTATTAAGAGCATTGTATAGCTCAAAATATCAATTAGATATTTGTATATAAATGAAACATACATGGATTTATCTCCCCTATACCACCTGCTATATATAAACTGAGGATTTATGCTACTTTTGATATATAATTCGCATCAATATTTTCTTACTAGCCTTTGTCTTTGTCATGTCAACCTAAGGCGAGAACTTATATCAACCTGCTGTTCAATCCTATTGTTTACTCAATAAAATATGATGAAATGAAATGGTAAGTTTTTTCGTGGATCAAAAAGGAAAAGAAACATAACGTATATTTATGATGTATGCATGTCAATGGTATGACATTTTGTTTAAAGATAACTTTGGATTTCCCATTTTTAAAAGGGGCACTCATTACCCGATGACTGAGTTAAGGGGGTCCAGGTCCGAGTATCAACCAAATATCAAAGATATTTAAGCAAGCTCAATGTGGAAATAATAATGTGTTTCCACGATTCGACGGGCTTATATTGAACTGAATAGCTCGCAAATAATGCTGTTATCGGTTATAAACCTAGCTTAATGGTCAAAATCAAAAGTCTGTATTGTCCGCGCTGTATGCCGATAAGAAAAACAAGTGTTAGATAAGGCAGGTCTTAGGCGACGGAAATGTAATCAGGTGAAAGGTAAATAAAAATATATTTTTTTATAATATTGTGTAAAATTTAATTTCATATTCAAATCAAACACAAGGTCCAATGTCACAAATTTAATTGGGCTACTATTACTTGTAGCCCGAATATCTATATTATTTCTTACCGGATTTGACAAAAGTCGACAAGAGCCAATGGTTATGTGGATGGTCGACAAATAGTATATAGTATTTGTAGCCCAAATATCATTGTTATTTTTCTTACCAGATATTACAATGACCGACAAAAGCCAGACACATTATTTGATTTTCCGAATCTATGTGTACCACATACAAGTGTACCGTGGTGACAACGAGACAGGAAATGACCCTCGATAATAAAATACCTGACGACATCGCCAAAACAGCGCAGTAGGTATTAGGGCACAGACAGGTCTCTTATGCATAGTTAAAAGGCGCCTGTTCAATTTATTAAGTAATTTAATAAAAGGTCATGACCTAAAGGTTGATTCACATATGTTACGTAAAATGGAGAATACAGGTTTTTTTCATTTTTGATGAAATGAATCTAGATACATTGGGTTGTATAAGGTTTGTTCCCTATTAAAACCTTATTATTTTTGAGCATATTTATTTATTTATTTTTTATTTCCCTTTTTTCACATATGAAATGAAGTACGATTTTTACACAACCGATTGAAATGAATCCGTCTATGTAGAAACATTTGAGAAATAAATGTAATGTGAATGACAGACGATCTGTGAGATTAAAACATATTGTTGTGCTTACAACCGTATTATGGGGTCATAACATGGTTATTTTCGGCTGGAAAAGTATTTGTAATGTATTTCTTTTAATATCTTTATGTACCAATCATTTATACACGATGAAATGAATTTGATATCTGTATATAACATAGAATAGTGTACCGGTACTGAAAACAAATATATAAAAAAAAAACACAAATCTTTGTGTCGGAATCTTGTCGGCCATCGTAAATGTATACAATATATATATCAGCATTTTTTTGGGACTAATTCCAAAATAAATTAAAAATAAATCGCTTATCACTCAATCGTCAAAATAAATTTGGTTCCGTCCAAACCCCCCGTGACAAGATTTACAAAAGATTTATACAAACCGACCCCTATCTTTTCAGCAATCTGTCACGGTAGCATAAGTTGCTTGGCTATGCCGTACAGCTAAAAATATTAACATACGTTATCATTCATAGATCCTATGGTATCCTTTAATATGATTTCTCTAACGCAGTGGAGAGAATTTCATGTACAGCGAGGAAGTAATTTGTTCCACACAGAATGGCCAGGTAAATATTGTTCACAGAGCAAACTCGACAATTTCTTAGAACTACATGTATCATTGCCCGTATGAGAAACTAGTGAATATCATACATGATTTTTTTAGTCCAAGATTATTATGGTACTAGCGTATATGTTTAGTATTACTATTTGTGAGCTTTATGTTCAATATTAAGATCATATTGACAAGAAAATGTTGACGTAAATATCATCGTTGTAAAAGGAGTCAATATACAATCAGGAAACACATATATTTCATATCATCTTAACATGCATTTGGATATAAATATAAGTGTTATTGTCATGTTGGACTTTATCGTAGATATGTCGAATAGATAAACATAATATAGTTGTTGACTTGGTTAACCAGGTCGTCAATTACCTGTTCCAGGGAAGAAGAGTAGCACATTATTTTCGGTTCTACTTCAGTTGTATTTATATATTTTCTGTCTAAGCTGTTTTGAGTAAGAAGACGTTACGACAAAAATCATGTTCGTTTTTCTAAAATATTTCATTTCTATTTTAATATACATATAGTAATGCACCTGGTAACGGTTTGGACCAAAGATACTTTATACACATATGTAAGTATGCTTTCAGTAATTACTCTGTGATACACTATAGATAATAGTAATACAATACCTTAAGGTTTCCACTAATATGAAGAAAACACACTTTCACCTCGACGGCGGTTTTAATTATTGCTGTGCTTACACTCATTGTGTTGTATTACTATGGTGTTGTCACTAACCAGCGGATGATTCATGCTAATACTAGTGTTGTACATGTATATGTTTCTTGGTACGTTTGTAAGTTTTCCTGTATTATTACGTGTTAGAGCACGAAGTATTAGCAGTACTAGTGTTTATATTACTGCTGTGTTCTCACGGATCGGAGGCTGATACACTATCACATACTAAGGTGCATTTCTAGTGAGTGAGATATAATTAACATACATTCTAACTGTCATGTTTTCATGGCACCACAAATAAACACCTAAACACATGCTTGGTTTATGCGTCACGCGATGTAATTTATAAATAATGTTTAGAAATGTAATCATTTGCAATAATGATTTACTGTATACCGGGAAACTGTCGCCCCGTTAAACTTTCGCCGTTAAACTTTCGCCCCGTTAAACGTTCGCCCTTCACCGACAGAGTCCTTGTTCGCCCAGTGTTAAATTCGCCCTACATCAGCGGAAATTCCCCGTTACGGCCTTTCTGATAAACACTTATCATTCATGTAAATATTTGTAACTAAATTATGTGATTTTGAA